TTTATACTAGCTGTCCCTACTAGAAGGAGAAGTCTCTCCCCAGATAGCTACCTGGGTGGGCTACTTGTCATCACTCGGGTCTCAGCTATGGGATCCCTTCCTTAGTGAAGCCTTTCCCAACATTCTATCATTTCATTGTATTTCGTATCCTCTATGGTTCTCATCAGCTTGAAACCATCTCTTACTCAGTGATTCTCCCCTATCTATTGTCCCTCCCACTCCACACACCAGCTACTGGACTGTAAGCTCTGAGAGGATCTGTCCTCTTCTCTACAGCTGTTTCCAGCACTCAGAATGTCTTCTGGCGCACAGTGGGGGCGGTGTGAATACTCCACAAGTGAGTGAACGAGCTGATCATGGGGCTTGGGGGAGAGGGCAGGCTCGGGACCTCAGGAAACCAAAGGCTATCTCCCTACTGCCTCTTCTGTCTCTGGAAGTTCATGCCATCCCAGCAACAAAAGCCTGCCACAGCATTGCTAGTGTAGATTTCAAGTCTCCCAGAGAGGACAAATGTGAGAATGTAAGAATCTTAAAGATACAAAGATCTGGGCAGAACCTCCACCCCCTCACCCCAGCCTAACCTGGGTTTCAGAGCATTTGTCCATTACACGCGAACGTATTTCTGCTTCATTCTCACTGAGAAACGTTACATGCAGGTTGCGTTCAGTGGGAAACCATTAGATATTTAACTAGAACACAGAAAAGCCACTGCACATTATATAAAATGTGCATTTATATATGAGACCTTTAATAAAAATCATTGCCCTGCTACTCTTCGGTAGCTGCATCACATCCTTGTCTGAGGATTGAAGGTAAAATTCAACCGATCTGAACTCAGCAATGCCTCCATCACCCATAGATTGTTGCGTTACCCCTGCTCTCAGGATGAGGCAATGAATCTGTGGAGGGATTCTTTCACTTCATAAAATAAAGAAACAAAACAAAACAGCAAAATGAAACAATTGGAAAGAGTCCATTACCCAAGGCTTGTGCCTAATGGCATAAACTTCCCAGAATGTTCCCATTGCAAAAATGTCTACAGTTGGGAAAGACTGTGAGGAGGGAGTCAGTGGGAGGGTGAGGATAAACTGCATGCTCATCAAACATCTGTTGCTGTCAGGAACTCAGCAAGGAGCTTTTTACAAATGTCATCTCTGCAGAGTGGGTCTCATCATCCCTATTCCATAGATCAGGAGCGCCGCTGGTGTTTGAATTCCTGGTCAGGGAAAGGGCAGCGAGATACATCTGCGCCTCCCTTTGAAGGCAACTACAGGAGACATAAGAGGTAGGACTTAATGAGTTCTCTGCAAATTGACAAGATGAAGACAAACAACCAGGTGGGTAAAAGGGCAATACACAAAAGGGAATATCACAGAAACACACACCCATGGCTAATGAACATAGGCAAAGATGTCCCATCTTACTAGTAATTAGAGAAATGTAAAGTAAAATCACAAGATCACGAGATAGCTTTCTGCATCATTGGGCTGGCAAAACTGGCAACATTACCAAATATTGACAAGAACATGAAAGGATGAAACTCTTATCCTCTAAAAGATGCTAATGTGGAGAAAATGAGGGATTTTTCTAATATAGTCAAAGATACACCGACCCAAAGATGCTGCGATTTTACTCCCTGGATAACCTCTCAAAAATCCACACAAGAGAACATTACAAAAATCTTTACCACAGCACTATTTTTTTTTTTTTTAAAGGAAGGAGGTGCAGGGAAAGGAAGAGAGAAGGAATCTTAAACAGACTCCATGCCCAGTGTGGAGCCTGTCTCCCAACCTTGAGATATGACCTGAGCCAAAATCAAGAGTCTGACGCTTAACTGACTGAGCCACCCAGGCGTCCAACCACAACATTATTTTTAAGAGAAAATATAAATTTGAAACAACGTCCAAAGGAGATGGATACATAAATTGCAGTACATTCATACAATGGAATATCCATACAGTAGTGGCCTTGCATGAACTAGAACTACACTTCTCAAAATATTTGCATATCATACTTTATATTGCTTAAGGGACACACACACACACACACACACACTCATCAGAAAGGTAAGCACTAAAGAGGATAATGAGTTTGGGTGGTGGGAGAGACACATATACAGGAAACTTGGTCATTGTGATTTCTGAGGCTGGGTCTTGCTCACATGACTTATGACTTGTTTTGAATTACTTAGCTGTTAACTATTGCATGATGCACATTTAAAAGGAAAATTTTAAATGTGAAAATCAGAGAAGAATAAAGTGATTGAATTCAGGAAGTTCCCGCATAAAACAGCAATTTTCTCATGACTGTAACAAAGCAAGCCTTGAAGCTCCATAAATAGTTTGAATTTCTTCCTCCCCTTTTCTCATTAGCAAACAATGTTATCAGGTTTCTCCAAATTTTTAAGGTAATTGAGAGCCTGCAATAATGTTTCGGTTTTCTGTTGTTTTTAATTATGAAGTTTATAATCCCGCCCCACCTCTGCCCCCCATCAGTTCTGCCTTCAAAGCCATGTGGTTTGCTCTCCCTGTATCAGGAAACACACTTGGCATAGAAAACATCCCGCAAAGTCTTAAGTTGCCAGTCCAGAGCCTCACCAGTAAAAGGAAATACCAGAAATGTCCCATAGGAGGTGCTGCAGGGAGGCTGGGGTGGCTCGTTGAAACTTCTTAAGCTTTGGGGCAAGTATACTGATTGGACTTGGCACTCATGCCTATATTCAAACTATAAAAAAATAAGATATGATCCAAATTTGTTCATAAGGTAGAGACCTGAAACAGACAACGGAAATTAAGGAAAATTTGGAAATAACTTTTAACACTGCTTATAGTAGTCTGTATGTGAGTCACCTGATGGTTTTCATAGTAACACTTTTGTTTTGTTTTGGGTGGGGGCTGAGCCTTGCAAAATGTGTATGTACAGAGGAACCTCATTTAATGCTGATGTTAGGGAAAAGTAATAAAGATCTCCATTTATAGCTTAGCAAAGGGGTCCTCAAAGTGTGAGAGCCCTAAGGGTCCCCAAGATCTGTGAAATCGTTTCGATTTCACAGTAATATTCAGACCTTATTTATCTTTTAAATTCTCATTCTCTCTGCTGAGTATAGTGGACTTTTTCAGAGGCTGCCCAGCATGTTACATCCTAAGAGATTTGATAGAGAAGAAGGTATGGGAATCCAGCTGTCTTCTATTAGGTCACACACCAAAGAGGTTTGCAAACACTAAGTAGGGGTATGTGGTAGTAGGTAGAACAATATAACTTTTCTCAATAATTTTGTTTGTTTTGGAAAGTCCAGTTATTTTTCATAAGATGTACGCTATTTATGCTAACATTTATGTTAAGTTTATTGTTATTTAAAATAAATAAGAACATAAATGTTTACATAAAATAAATAAGAACAATGTAAAACATTCTAATATAGTAACTATTGACAGACATAACCCACATAAACAAGCACTTTGGAATCCTGAATAATGTTTAAGACTGAAGAAATGTGCAAACAATCCACTGGCCTCGGGCCCATCACAGAAAGCGCTGCTGGTAATGCAGGTGCTGAATTCCTGTCCTGTTCCTCTGGTTGCCCCCGGCCGCACCGTGTCTAAAACCACAAAGACCACCAGATAGAGCTTGGCGGGGAATCTGCTGAATGGAGATGACATTTTATATATATTTTCTAAGTCCCATTGCTCCTCAGGGGGATCTCTCTGGGTGGGTTTCCTGAGGGCTAGAGCAACAGTCCTGGTTGATATCATCTTATTTGGAAATTTCAGACAGGACCAGACTTCGTGCTCCAGGTAGTTCAGGATCACACTGGGATGTCTGCTCTACAGAAGTTGACAGCACGACTCAGGCAGATAAAGGCTATTCCTTGGAAGCCACCTGGGACAGCTTCCACTCTGGGGGCATTCTATATAGGCCAAGAAGGGCATGTAATCACTGCTCAGATGAGGTTTGTAAAGGAAAGAATTCGTTTTCGGGGATAATTCGGAATAGATTTAAGCAGACATGACTGCCCATGAAAGACTTGTTAGCTGCCAGAAAGTCAGGTAACACGCCTTTAAACCCACTTCTTAGTGTGATGCCACCGGTTCCTTCCTACGCAACCCCTGGGGGAAGGTAGGCCCGCCCTGCCCACCGTGGCAAGTAAATAGCGTGGTATGGAAACGCCTCGCCTGGGTTGGGTGCCTGTCCGCCGGATTCTCCACTTTCCAAGATCCTGCGCGTTCCAGTCCCGTCGGGCAGGTAGGCACCGGTTGGGAGTGTGCGGCTGAGCGAAGCGGGCGGGGCGCCGACCGCCGGAAAGGTGTGGAGGGAAAGAGGTGGCTGGCAAACATGTGCGCGACCGACTCGGAGGCCAGAGATCGGGACGCCGGGGCCGCCCGGGACCGGCTGGGCGACCTTGCGGGAGCGGGTTCCGTCTCTGGGCGAAGGTGTGCAGCTCCCGTCTCTACCTGCCGGTCCGGCGGCGCTCCGGGTTCCTCTCTTTTCCTGCCGGCCTTTGTCAGGTTGGCCAAGCTGGCTTCTCCCAGGTGAGCCGGTGGTGGGGGCTCCGTTTGGACCGCCGGGCCCAGGGGGACCCCGAGGCTAAGGACGCGCAGGGGAAGCTACGCGCGACGCTGCGGCAGGTGGGGATCCGGGGTGGGTGGCGTGTCTCCCACCGGGCGCAGGACGCAGACCCTGCCTCGCTGCCAGACAGAGGCGATGGCGCACCCCGGGGGCTGGGGGCCTCCCTCCTGCAGCCACCCTACCATGACTTTCTGGCCCCGGGTCCCGGGCCTCCCAACCCCTCCCGCTGATCACTGTACCAGCCGGGATTCAGGAGGTTCGGGCGGGGAGGAGGGAGCCTTTGGGGGCACGTCGGGCTAATGTGGGGCCAGAGTTGGAAGGCTCCCCACGAAGAAAGGGAAGGCCAGCGGCCTGGGTTAGGATCTCTGAGATTCATTGTGGCCGCCGTGCCCCATCCCCTCCCACCTTCTCTCTTCTGGTAGCCCAGCAGGGGAATGCTGGCCTTGGTGCTCTGCGGAGTGTCCCTCGCGCTTCCACCCTTTGTCCGAGCAGGTACGTTCGGCTGTCCTTGGGCCTCAGAGGCCACCCTCACCTACCTGCCTCCCTGCGGCTCTGCGAGAGCCCCTGTGCAGACCCCTGGGGGATCGCATGACACCCGAGCCTTGTGGTTACACTTACCCTAGGGGACCAGGCAGAATTCCGGCTGAATGCGGAAACAGCAAGTTTCAGTTCCCAGCATCTGATGCTCAGCCCCAGTGTCACGTTTGAGTTTTGAGATGACTTTGGTGGGGATGGGGGTGGGGGAATAGGCAAATTTGGAAGTCTTGGGTCAAAATGCTCAAATGGATATAATACTATTTTACATGACAGAGGGTCATTTTATGACCCAGGGTAAAAACACGGAAACCATCAACACAGCAGATTTCTTCCAAGAAGAAACACAGTTTCTTCAAAGCAATTCAGTAGAAACGAACTTTAAAATGAGCAGATTTTTTTCAACTGTTCTTTTTGGGATGGTATACTTACACCTTTTAGTGAAGACAGAGTGAAATAGCTGGGTGGCAGAGCAGAAAGAAATGGGACAAGGAGGGCTCAGAATAGGAACATTTACTCTGAAGAAGGAGGATGAAGGGATTCAGGGTCTTACAAAAGAATGGACAGAGAGAAACCATTCCAAATGGGGAGGATGAGTCAGTGTGTTTTATGAACACATTTGAAGGACTTCCAATTATGCTTTCAAATCAGCAGACTATTTTAGGGAACTCCCACAGTGAAAAAGCTCTCCAGTAAAATTTTAAGTTGGCTAGAAAATTAAAGAGGCATTTGTTAAAACTAATAACCAATAACACCAGAGTTCTCTTTCATGATTTTCTCCCTTTCTTTCCCTAGATGCATGCAAGGATGTTAGTATGCAAAACGAGGCACCTTCAGCAGGCCAGCCTTTTGCTTTTAACTGTACGTACCCACCACTAACATCTGGGAAAGTACGTGTAACATGGTATAAATATCCTAACAAAATCCCAATATCCAAAAACACACAGTCTAGAATTCACCAGGAGCAAAACTGGATTTTGTTTCTGCCCCTGACACAGGAGGACTCTGGGATCTACCAATGTGTTATAAAGTAAGTTTCTCATTTAAAATAGACCCCTCTCTCTCTCTGTCTGTCATATATGTGTGTGTGTGTGTGTATATATATATGTAAAAATATATAATGTTATAGTTATATACATACACAATTCTTTTAGGAAAATTCTTAATAAACTCTCAATAAACATAGAAAATTCAGTGAGAAGAATAAAACAGTTTTATAATTGTTACCAGATGGTTTCCAGTGAACATATTTTAAAACAGAACAGATTTATAAAGCAGTTGTTGGAACATGAGATGCATCTTTTCCCATTGAAATGAGGCCACAAGCCAGACCAGCTTAAAAACTTGTTTCTCCCAATATTATTGCTACCTTCTTTCTTGGAATTTGGGAAGTGTGTGTGACAGGCGGAACAACCAGATAGGAATAAACCTCCTTTGAGCACCTTTTTGTAAGGGCTCTGTGATAGGAACTTCACAGTGACTCAGCATCAGCTATGTTCCAGGCCCCATGATGAGCCCTGTGCTAGGAAGTAGTGTAGCTGAGTGGCACAGATCTGGTGGGAGACAGTTGAGCCTGGTGGGGGCTGTGGTGAGCCAGAAAGCATTTGTCCCACCAAAGGCAGTGGTCTATTCAGCTCAAGTCCATTTTCCAATTTTTCAAGGGAACCTGGAAATTGTGTGTGTGTGTGTGTGTAACTTTTCAGTAAGCTTTGTGTGTGTGGCTTAAATAAAACACATTCATGGTTAAATTTTGCCTAAGGCCCTCAATTTTGTTACCCTCCCTTACTGATGTGCTCGTCAGTATTTGAATAACAAATTATTCAATAAATCAGAACCTTGATATTCCTATCTGTAAAATGTCAGCCTGATAGAGTTGAAGGGACAATTAGTGGAGATGATGTGTGAGATCAGTACTCCAGAAGGGTGATTGTGTTCTCCCTCTGCTGCTTTGTCTCTGTGGTCTTTGCCTCTGCCTGTCAGTGTTACAGGAATGGGAGAGGTCATGAGCCCCTATTTCCTGGCTCCTTCCCAGGTGCTGACGTCTTGTGGTGGTCTGCTGTCTTGTGTGACTCTAGGTTATGAAGTAAGAGAGGGGGAGATTGTACAGCACACAAATTCCGTCCGGATGTCTAGGCTGGATTTGAAATACTTAAATCTGGGAGCTGTAAACGGGGAAAGGTAACCTTTCATAGAAGGTAGACATAGATGCTATCTGTCATGAAATAAATGTGAATTCTCACAAATCTTTAACATACAGAGATGATACATACTTAGTAAATTGTGTATTTTTACTTCGAAGTAATTTCAAATTCACACAAAATTTGCAAGAATAGTATAAAAAAAATCCCATCTACCCTTTATCTAGATTCCTCTTATTTAACGTTTTGCCACATTTACCTTATAATTCTCTCTCTTCTCTCTCCATATGCAACTGACCCTTGAACAACATGGGTTTGAGGTTCACAGGGCCATTTATACACAGATATTTTTTGATAAATACGGTACATTACTATAATTGTATTTTCTCTTCCTTATGGTTTTCTTAACATTTTCTTCCTCTAGCTTACTTTATTTAAGAATACAGTATATAACACACATAACATACAGAATATGTTTTAATCCACTGTTTATGTAATCAGTAAGGCTTCCGGTCAATGGTGGGCTATTAGGAGTTCATTTACGGGGGAGTCAAAAGTTCTATGCGGATCTTCAACAGCACAAGGGATCCGGTGATGCCCCTAACGCCTGAGTTGGTCAAGGGTCAACTCTATATGTATATTTACATGCAATATTTTTTTCTAAACCATTTTTTCCAAAATAGTTTTTGGAGATTTCTCCAAATTTTGAGTTGTATGCATCCTTAGCCTGGAGTAATTCAGTGTGCTATTTGCTATCAACAAGAGTGTTCTCGTACATAATCACAGTATAGTTATCCTACCCATCATGCAATATTTTTATCTAATTCCCCATTCATATGCTAATTTTGTCAATTGTCTCGATTTTTCTTTATAATTTTTTTTTCCTTTCTGGGAGAGGGTCCAATCCGGCCTCATGAATTGCACTTGGCTGTCATGTTTTTTCAGTCTCTTTTCATCTTGGAACAGTTCCTTGGTCTGTTCTTCACGACATTGACATTTTTAAGGAGTACAGGCGATTATTTCATATACTAGCCCTTAATTTTGGTTTGCCAGATATTCCTTCATGCATAGGTTGAGGTTGAATTTTGGTTTGCCAGATATTCCTTCATGCGTAGGTTGAGGTTGAACCTTCTCGGCTGGAGTACCATGTTAAGTCATTTGTGTCCTCTTCGGACAACACACTCTGAGGCTCACAGTGTCCATTTGCCCCTCACTGCTGCTGTTCAGCCTGATCCCTTGGCCATGCTGTGGTCCCGTGTTTCCACAATAGAAATCTTTTCTTTTCTTTTGTAATTAATGATTTCTGAGACGCATCCTGCCTTGGTTGAAGTAGGGCGTTTGCATGGTATCTTAATGATGATTTGGCAAGATTGGAAGATGAACGGCTTCATTTGATTTGTGGTTGTTTGAGTTTTTGAGGTTTCAATTTGTCATTTTCTTACAGCAGCACAAACACCTGTCACAGAATCCACGTAAACCTCACTGTATTAAGAAAATACTGGTGTGGTGTTTCTGGAAATGGCCAGCTGATTTTATCAGATGAATACAGACAAATATTACGTGCTGGAAGGGACGACAGCCTTACCTGTCATCTGAACTTCCCACAGAGTTGTGTTTTGGATTCACTAAAGTGGTATAAGGTAAAACACAAAATGATTTTCCTATTGCTATTTTTCTTCTTCTTTAAAACTTACTTGCTTTTTGGTTCAAGTTGGATTTTTTAAGGCAGAATTGGTAAAGAGATTTGTGTACCTGAGACAGATTTGTTAGCCTATTGCTACTGATAATTTTACCCTGCTAATTATTGTTTTTAAAATTAATGGTTATTACAGCTTTGTAATATTTTGTTACTTGTATCCACCATCTCCCCATAGTTATAGTTTTCAGACTCTCCTTGGTTATTCTTTTTTTTTCTGAAGAGATTAATTAATTTGTTTGAATGTGTACTACTTATGCCCATGATTCAATAATCCCCAAGTATAAAAAGTCATCCCTGGCAAGTGCCCTCCCCACTCCTGAGCTCTGTTTGCCCTGGGCCCATCACACCTTTCCTAACCGGTGGCTGCTATGATTAGGTGCTTGCTTTCTCCGCATTATTTTTGTATAATGCTATACAAGCAAATGAAACTATATCCTTGTCCTTCCTTTTTTTTTTAAGATTGATTTATTTATTTTGAGAGACTGAGAATGAGAGAGAGAGAGAGAGAGAGCACATGAGAGGGGGGAGGGTCAGAGGGAGAAGCAGACTCCCCACCGAGCAGGGAGCCCGATGCGGGACTCGATCCAGGGACTCCAGGATCATGACCTGAGCCGAAGGCAGTCGCTTAACCGACTGAGCCACCCAGGCGCCCTGTCCTTCCATTTTTATGCAAACGGGGAATCCTAAGGAACTCACCTTTCTGCAGCTTGTGTTTTCACCCTCCAACACTCCCTTTTCTTGGCTGTCCTGGCAGTTGATAATGTTTAAGACATAATCCGAGGCACAGGGGAGCACAGGATTCTTAATTAAAATTGGATTAGTTTTCCTGTAACTCTCTGCTTGTCAGCACTTGCCAATACAACCATCTGGGTGGTGAATTTTCTCTGGGGAAAGCTTTTTATCTGCCCATTCAGTTTCTTTAATGGAGATAGCCTTATGCCAGTTTCTTATTTCTTCCTGAAGGAGTTTTGGTAAGATTCCTTTTTTTTGTAGGAAATTGCTCATTTCATTAAATATTCCAGATACTCTGGCACACAACTGTTTGTCATCTTTGCTCTTTTCATGTCTGTTTCTGAAGTAAGGTTCTTCTTTTAATCCCTGTTACAATGTATTTCTCTCTCACTCCTCACTTGATTAGTCTCATAAGAGAGTTGTCCGTTCTATTATTTTTTTTTCAAAGAATCAAATTTTGGCCTTGTTCATCCTTTCTATTATGTGCTTCGTGTTCATTTACTTTGTTTCCACTTTCCTGTCTCAAAAGGACCGTGGCAATGAATATCCTTATCCATGTCTTTTTTTTTTTTTAAGATTTATTTGAGAGAGAGAGTGTGTGCCTGCGCATGCATGGAAGGAGGGGCAGAGGGAGAGAGAAAGAATCCTCAAACAGACTCCATGCTGAGCACAGAGCCCAACTAGGGCTCGATCCCAGGACCCTGAGATTGTGACCTAAGCTGAAACAGAGTCGGCCACTTAACCGACTGAGCCACCCACGTGCCCCTTATCTCTGTCTTTTAATGCACATTTGCCAGTGTGTGAGTTTTTTTAGGATACATGCTGATTAGCCTTATAACTGTTAAGATTGTGGAGTATGTATATGAATAAAGTATTCAATTTTATTGATGCTGCCAAGTTACTCTACAAAATTTTAAATTAGTTTATACTCTCCTGTGCAATATTCTGGGGTCCCTAAAACCTTAAGTAGGACTTTGTATTATAAGACTTACATTTTTAAAATTAGTTTGATGGGTACAATTGCTACCTTATTTTTGTTTTAGTTTGCTTTTCCTTAATTATTAGTGAGGTTGACCAACTTTTTCATACATTTATTGACTGTTTTTGGATCCTCTTCTGAACTTGTGATTCATGTCTTTTGCCCTATATTTTTTTTTTTTCATTTTTTTTACCATTTCATTACTGACTTACAGGAGATTTTATATATTTATATATCCTGGGTACCAATGTTTGGAACAGTTTTCATTGAAGAATAGTATATGTATAGAAAATGCAGGAAGCATAATTGGACAAGCTTGATGGATTATCAGAAAGTGAATACACCTTTTGGCTACCCCTTCCATCTATCAAGGTCAAGAACAAAAATACTACTAGCACCTCAGAAGGTTCACTTCTGCCATCTTCCAAAAACTATGCCTCCCGAATCCCCTGACTTCTAATAGCATATAAGCATATAATAGTTCATTTGCCAGCTTATGAACTTCATTGAAATTGAGTCCTATTGTATGTAGCATTTTGTGTCTGGCCTGCTTGGCTCAGTTGTAAACTTGTGAGAATCATCCTCTGAAGAGAGGATTGGTTCAGTCATTCTTTAGGGCCCTGCTTTTAGTGGTTCAACCAAACCACATGGCTTGGTCACATCCCAGATGACAACTAGAGAATTTGGTGGGGATGTTCCTCATCGTCAAGTCCTGACTCTAGCTTTTGTCCCCTACATGCATAGATCTGTCAAAAGCACTGTCTTACCAGTTTGTCAGTCATCACCTTCAGAATAATTGGCGATAGTCAGTTCTAAACATCTACTCTTCCATTAATGAAAAGTTCATCTTGATCGAATTTAAAGCTACCACCTGTGCTGTCTCCACTTGCAAGGCTAATACCTGGCCCTTAGGTATTAGCCTTAGTTCAGGAAGTTTCTACTGAATAGGTGGATGGCTTCCAAGTTCTTCCTACCTCCAGTATTTTTCCTTTTTTGTATCAACTATTGGGCTAATGGAAAAATTACACAGGTATTCATTTAATGTGTGTCAGGATGTATAATAAACGCTCTGCACACTCTCTCTCATTATCCTCTTATTAACATTGGCTCTGGCTACAATTTAATTATTTACAATAATCCTGTTCCAGGGGGCACCTGGCAGGCTCAGTCGGTGGAGCATGTGACTCTTGATCTCAGGGTTGTGAGTTCAAGCCCCACATTGGGCATGGAGCCTACTTGAAAAAAAAAAAAATCCCCTTACAGTATTCCTGTTCCGTTCAGAGGGTATTGGTTACCAGGCCACAGTCCTCTCAGCCTCAGTTGGCTCTGTGGCATTACCCATTTTTCAAGTCCTGCTTTGGCCTTCTCAGGATATGGTGAGTCTCAGTTCCTCTCCGTGGCTTCTGTAGACTCTTCCTCAAGCATCCTGTCTCCCACCTTGTGGCCTTGCAACCATTATCTCATGGAACCAGCGTTAGGACCCTCTTGACCATAGGACTCTTCCGGAAATCTTTTCCTCCTGGCCTGGACCTGTTGTGGTCATAGATTTAAAAGCACTTGACATCTGTAGAAAGGTAGATGTTTAGAATCAACTTTGTTACTACCTCAGTGTTAAGAGCGATGGATTTTTTTTTTTAAAGCACTTGCTTGGACTCTGCCTCTATTCACTGAATCAGATTAGCCATGGGTGGGGTTCAGGCATTTTTATTTTTAAAATAATGCTCAGGGACACCTGGGTGGCTCAGTCGATTGAATGTCCGACTCTTGATTTCAGCTCAGGTCATGAGCTCAGGGTCATGGGGTTGAGCCCCATGTCGGGGTCTGCATTCAGCGGGGAGTCTGTTTGAGATTCTCTCTCTCCCTCTTCCTCTGCCCCTCCCCCCTCAAATAAATAAATAATTCTTTTTTTTTTTTTAAAGATTTTATCTATTTATTTATCAGAGAGAGAGAGAGAGAAAGAGCACAAGCAGGGGGAGCGGCAGGCAGAAGGAGAAGCAGGCTCTTTGCTGAGCAGGGAGCCCGACGTGGAGTTTGATCCCAGGACCCTGGGATCATGACTTTAGCTGAAGGCAGACGCTTAACCGACTGAGCCACCCAGGCATCCCAATAAATAATTCTTTTAAAAAAATAAAATAACTGCTCAGCTTGAGAAGACAGGAGGCTAGGAGCCAAGCCATATAACGAGGAGAGATCCTTCTGAAACTGTTCCACCTGCTCAGATTCAGTGACCTCAGTTATGGCTCTATTTTTGCTACTATCTGGTTCTCAGACCTTGAGTTACTATTTGGGCTTCAGTGTTTTCTTCTGTCAAATGAGAGAGTTGGAATCAATTCTTCCAGGATGTAGAGCTTCGTGTTTATCTGCCTGCAGCTGTGCTAGGAAATGCTTCCTGGAAGAGGTGACTGTTGCACTGCTTCAAGAATGAATCGCAATGAAGCCGTGGCAGGCAGAAGGGAGGATGGTAATTAGAAAAAAAAAACAAAACCCAGCAGTTTCAAAGGTATCAGGTGAGAAAGAGAATGGTGTTTGGGGGCATTGGTTAGAGTTTGGGGTCCATGTCAGAGTGGAGTAAGGTGATGCTAGGAAGTAGATCGTGTATGCTCACCTACACGTAGCCTTTTCCCCACTTAAAAAGTATATCAGTTACACCATTAGGATAATGACATGCTCAGCTTCTTTATGTGTTAGTCAAGTCCTGTACGCACTGCAGTGAGTACATTGGAAGGGCTTGAGAGTGGTGGCATGTGGATCATTGAGGCTATTTCAGAAATTTAGTGAATGAGTGGGGACCATGTAGGACAGCGTATGAAGTAGAACTGGTAGAATGAGGGGGAAGGAGAGGAGAGTCAGTGGAGGGAACTCGTTCCTGGTGGCCCCTCCCTTCTCTGGGATGTTAGGTGGACATTTAGAAAGAGCAGCAGAGGTGAATAGGTGAATGAGAGAGTCGAAGGCAAAGAATATCTAAGGTGAGGACCATGAATTGGTAGTGGTGCCAAGATGAGTGTCGATGTGATTTTCTCCTGTAGTGCTCATCGGGTTGTAGGCTTGTAGGAGAAGGATGATGGAACTGACATGGATGGGATTTTGCAGGCTGAATGTGCTGGAAGGATAAAGGGCAACAGTATTGAGGAACTGAAAGGGTGTGAGTAAAGTAACGGCCACAGGTTGGGAAAGGAAGTGATGCCTGAAGGAAAGTGGTCATTAAAACAAAATAGAGGGGCCAAGGGGACTGTATGTTCAAGATAACATAGAAAAATGAGTTTGAGAGAAAGTTCAGGTAGAAAAGTATAATGAATATGGTGGATAGACACTCACTATCCATGGTGAGCCTCTTTAAACTAGAGCGGCTATAAAGCTACAAAGTTGGAACAAAGCAACCCCAAACACACCCTGTGCTTTCCCGGAGTTGCCTGCAGCTGAGGTTCTGGATGTGATTCACTTTCTTCAGCTGGCTTCCCCGAAAGGCTTAAGTGAGAACAGTAGCTCTTCCTGCTTTTCTGCTAGGCAGCATGGCCATGGGGATTTTCTGCAGCGGTGTTCCCAGGCCCAGACCCTAGCTCTGTGGGAGCTGAGAGGCCGTGCATCTGCCTTCTGATGTTGTTGTTGGTGTGGCTTTCATTAGAGGTGACATGGCCTCACACACACTGGCCGCACCGTGGCAACCCCTGGTCTCTGACTAGCAGGTGTTGTGGTTCAAGGTCTTGAGTCCCACCTCACCACTGTGGTGGAGGGTAGCAGGTATCCTGCGAGCTAGGTCCGCAGTTCGGTTCTGGCTTAGATCTCACTCCCTGGGTACTTCTTAAAATTTTGTGAGCACCTAATACCTTGTGTTAAATCCTTTTCCACCTGGAACAGCCAGAATGCTTTTTGTTTTCTGCAACTGAATCCAGTCGGAGGGACATAGCCCCCTAGATTTGTTTTGAAGAGTAAATGAAATAATCTATCCATTAGCCCTTAGTTCAGCGTGGATGCATAGTAATTACTTGATAAATAAATATCAGGTATTATTATTTGGTGAAAATAAAGGAATGGAAGAGAAGGAATCATAAGAAATGACGATCAGAATGGTATAGATGTTTTTAGGAATTTAGAGACATAGCAGTTCTGGATCGTGACAAAGTCCAGCTTGTAGGTGGGAGAACTGGAGATGGAGAGGAGTAGAGGTGGTCCTTGAAACGAGGTGTTATGGAGGACAAGGTTCAGGTATTAAAATATCCATTCTCATAGATAGTGAAGTATTCACATTTGGAAATGCAGTGATGTCCCCAGGTTTGTTTTTTTTTTTTTTTCAATTCCAGGTTACTTCCCAATATATTGATTTCTGCTTTGCCACTGTGCTAAATCTATATTTGCTGAGATCATTCTCAAAGGCAAATGGAATCATGTTATTCCCTTGCTGGAAAAGCTTCAATGTTCATCCCCTTTTCATCGTCTTCTGGGATTGGGCCCCTGGCTGCCTGACCAATTCTAGCTCCATCATCTCCTGTAAGCCCTGCACCTTAGCCAGAATGCTCTGGGCTATTTTATGTCTCCAACCAATGTACATGCTGGGTCAAAAGTGTTCTTCTTGGTGCTTGAAAGACAAAATACATTAAAATGTTGGCTGCTATTGGTATTAATATTTTAACTTTAAATCTTAATGAGATGTCACCCACAAATTTTTAAATAAAAATCAAGGCCTTCTGAGAATTTAAACTCTAAAATGATGCTGTGGTGGATCACAGTAGAAGCAGTTTTAGTTACCATAAAGGGACAGAATGGCTCTTCAGCTATCAAGGCTGGGTTTTAATATGATTAAATATTTGTACATCTTGAGAGAAAGAATGAGTTGATCAGAAGGGACTGGTCAATGATGAAAACATAGAAAGGGAGGCCCAGGGATTGCCCCTCTCCAAGCTCTCTCCAGAGAAGTTTTCATAGTCAAGGACTCAATGCTTTTTGTTTGTCCCTACTCTAAAGAAGGTGGCACCACATTATTGGAATCTGATGCCTTCGCCCATCTGACTCTTACTAGTAATTCCCATTCTACTTGGTAAGCAATTGTCCAATTATAATTGGGTTTCTCAAATAGGGAATAATGTAAGACTTCTAGAAATTCGCATCATAAATAAACAAATGCTCATTTGGGCATGATTGCGTTTCCTCTTCCAAGGTGGATCCATTCACACTGTTCCAGTGGTGATGTATGGGCTCTGATGCTGAGCTAGCTACAGCTGACTCAGTGATGAGAGAGCTGGACACTTGGGCAATTAAATTTTTATTAGGGGTTATGAGTTTGTCTTCTATATTAGGATTGTGAGCTTTCTAAGGACAGGGACTCTATCCTATTCCTGCATGACAGAGCCTCTCACAGCCTAGCAAAGAGCAGAAACCTGAATGCTTGAATGAATAAGCAGACTCAATAATCCAAGAACTCACTCTGTAGAGTGGCACTTTCCAAAGAAACTTTTTTTTAAGATTGTATTTATTTATTTGAGAGAGAGATAATGAGAGAGAGAGCATGAGAGGGGGGAGGGTCAGAGGGAGAAGCAGACTCCCTGCTGAGCAGGGAGCCCGATGCGGAACTCTACTGGGACTCCAGGATCATGACCTAAGCTGAAGGCAGTCACTTAACCAACTGAGCTACCCAGGCTCCCCACCAAAGAAACGTTTTGAGAGAGGGGAAAAGTTTTGAGAGAGTTCAGAAGTGGGTCTATGAGATGGAAGGAGCATGGGAATGTGAGCTTCTGACTGTGTCCTGCCAGTGGATGGTAAGGTCTGCCCCGGGAGTGGTTGCTGAGGATGACAAGTGAGAAAGGCATTCTTGAGACTAACCAGGCCTCAGGTTGGTTTGACTTAAGAGGTTGTTCTTGTTGATGCAGTGGAAGCAAGGGTGATGTAACAAGTTACGTGACGTCTGCCCATAAGCCTAGCCAGCATACTTTGACTGTTGTTCAGGCCTCCAAGCAGAATGTTCTTGAAGAATTATTTTGGACCTCTGTAAAGTCCGACCCAATAGGTGGAGAAGGTGTATTTGGGCCTGGAACACAGCGGAAGCAGTCATTAATCACCTGGGCTTGCAGTCTTGGCATAGGGCCTTGGTGCCATGACATGGTGGTCCACTGGGAGATATAGGCCCCTGTGGGTGGAGGGCTTTCCTGCCTGTTCACACCCTCCTACCACACTTCTTTGTGGGCCCATGCAAACTTCCTCCGTGTGGTCTGCCTTCTAGCTCACGTAGGCCTCTTTCCTTTCCACTTTCATTAGACTTAATATTTATAGTACTCACTGTAGCCTGTAACCTATTCTTTGTCAAATCTATAGATATCTATCTATCTATTTTTCTATCTACCTATTGATATCTATAGATATAGATATCATCTTCAGTTAGATTATAAATTACCCTGGGGATCACTTATGTTTCTTGCATCTCCCCACGGCTCATAGGATGGTGCTAACTAGAAATGTAACTGATACACCAAAATACTCTTTGAATTAATTTATGTATGTACATATATTTTTGTATTTAGGGCTGTGAAGAGATTAAAGGAGAACGGTTTATTTCCTGGGAAACAAAGCTTTCAGTGAGCAATGTTTCAGCAGAGGACGGAGGGAGCTACGCGTGTCAAGCCCGACTGACACACACAGGGAAACAGTACACCGTTTTAAACAGCATCACTGTGAATATTGGTAAGTATGCTCATATCCATCGCCTTGGCTTCCTCTTGGCTTTGCGTGAGATGGCTGGCTTTTTGGGCAGCAGTGATTCCTTGGTATGAAAATTAAATGAGAGCATGTATGTAAAGTGGGTACTGGGGTGCCTGGCAAAGTATAGGTGTTCATCTAGTGGTAGATATTATTGTTACTCTTATTTCCTTCAGCTGTCATTGGTGTGACTACTTTGGTGGGCCGTTCCAGGTTTGGCCCCCCGCCCTGCCCAGGGCATGCAGAGTTCAAGGTCTCTGAACTGGGCTCCAGGATACTTGATGCTCGTGGGGCATCAGTTCTCAACCCAGAGCAGCCAGTTTGCTTGAATATATGACCTGGAGTTGAAAACAGAATCTTCAGGGTGGAAGGTACCCTAAAGATAATTTAGCTTAAGCCATTAATTTTATAGAGACCCAGGAGGGGGTGACTTAGGAAGCTTACAAAGCTGGTTAGTGACAGAAACAGGGCCAGGACAAAGGCTTTCGGTGCCCAGATGAACATCATTTCTTCTCAACGCATTCAGCAAGGAGTTCTTGCTACGTTGCCTTTTGCTCCTTTGTCAGTAGACAGTTGTCTTCTATGTTGACTCATCTAAATGGAAAGAACTGAAGACTGAATATTTCTTTGACTTGGACCATCATGTCTGTCACTAATTTCTGTCAGACTTCATTGTACTGGGTGGTACCTAGCAATTTCTTGATGGTGTGGCTCTCTTGGGGCATGAGTCCAGCATGGGTGGCTTCTTGCTTCCCACCCAGAACTCTTTACTTAAGAAAATTAATTGTATCACATTTCATGATTTTTATGCTCTTGGGTTTTATGTTACCTGTTATCTCTCCAGATGTAGGCAAAGAAGATCTTTGTCTTGTTCACAGTTGAATCTCCCACAGCTAGCCCCTGGACTAGACTAGGCACAGACCCATTTAATAACTGAATGGTTGATGACTATCATGCTTAGTTTTCCACTGGTAGCTGGAGGAATTCTTTGAAAGGCAAAATGAAGACTACCTCAAGTAAATCCCATAAGGGATTCAAGAGGTCATTGAGTTCAACAGTCTATATTTCATGTCGTTGCAATAAGCACTTATTTATGATCTAGTATATGCCCCAATTGTTGGAACCTGATAACTAAAAACTTAAAAAAAACCCCATCATTTCTTCTATTGAGAAGCTCTCAGCCTGGTGGTAGTGGAGTTAGAGATATAAATGAATCATTTTCACATTATGTAGTAAGGATAGAGTTATAAATAGAGTTATAGATAGTGTCTGGGGGACCAGGGAAAGAATCAGAATTAGCCACAGGGGTGGCAAGTAAATTGTCTTGGAAGGCTTCCAAGAGGAAATGGCTTTTCAGCTGAATGTTGAAGGATGAATCAAATTTATAAAAGTGAAGCGTGAGGTAGAGCAGAGAGAATACTATAAGACAAAGCATAGAAGTGTCTACCAGCATAGTTTGTATTGGACCTAAAACTAATTTTGTTAGAGCAAACGTAAGCATGAGGTAAGGAGTGGTGGGGGCTGGGGCCATGGAGTTAAATAGGGTCAAGGTTTAGGGGGCCAATTACATGTAGGCTTTACCATGCAGCCCCCGAAGAGCCCTTGGATGCAGAGCAATGAGGCTGCGTTTGTGATGGACAAGACCAGTCTTGAGATGGTTGAGCAAGAGTTGAGGAGGATCTTGAAGCCTGTAGGCCACTTTGGCAGCTGCTGCAATACCCAGTATTGATAAGAGTGCCGATAATCTGAACTTGAGTGGAAGTGGCAGGGGATTCTTCTTCGGGCAGTAATTTAGTGGCTCTTTACTGAGTGCCTAATAAGGCCAGGTTCTGCACTTTGTAGAGAGGAGAAGGAGGAAAGCCGCCATGATCACCACTCTGATGGAGCTTTGAAGTCTGAGCAGGGAAGGGAGGCAGAGATAAATCAGATAATCTGCTAGTGAGACGTGTAATAACCAAGGAGATGAATGCCATGAAGGAATGGAAAGTATAAGACTGAACAGACAAGGACCTGTTGAGAAGGCAGAGGGTCAGGGAAAGCTTCTTGATAATAGTGACGCTGCCGGTCAGGACGCATTAACTGAGTGATGGAGTGGGCAAGATTTTTCCAGATTGAGGGAGCCCTTTGACAAAATAGACCATGGTATGTGTGAATGATGGGAAGTAGGCAGGGGGGCTGGAGCAATGCTGAGTGGGGAGGTCATGTGAGGTAATGAGGCTGGAGAAGTAATCAGGGCCAAGAATTGGTAGGAGCATGCAATCCAAAGCAGAGAGTATGGAGTTTATTCTATGAACAGTGGTAAGCAGCCAGAGGGATTGAGAGCAGGAGAGTGACACAATGTAACTTACATTCCAGAAAGCTCAGCGTGGCTGCCGTGCACAGAACGATCCCTAGAGAGTTAGGAGTGGCAGGGAGGGGGCAGGTACAGAAATGCAGGTGAGATATCAGGTAGGCACAGGCAACATGGTGGCACTGAAGATGGATACATGTGGATGGATTCAAGGCTTCTGAGGACGTAAATCCCACAGGGGTTGGTGTTGGATTGAATACGGGATAAGGGATGAGGCAAAGTTAAGGGAGCTAGGCCTTTTGGCATATGCAACAGACTAGATGATGATATTATTCAATGAAAGAGTATAACTCTGGAGGAAAACTGGATTTAGGAGTGAGATCATGAGTTTGGTCATGGGTAAGCTGAGTACTTGGAGGTGCCCATGTGGAGATATCAAGTTGGCCTGGTCCTGGTCTGGAGAAAGGTCTGGAGATGCAACTTTCAAAGTCCTTGTCCTTTAGATGGTAACGGAAGAAGTGGGTATGAATAAGAGTACAAATGAAAGACCAGAGAGTGGAAAATAGAGGGTTTAGCCATGAAGAAGGAGGCGCACACGGAGAAATGTTAAGAGCTGAAATTAGTTTGGTTTCGTGATTGATAATTTGAAGAGGTGAGAAGAACCGTTGCCTAGAGTGACTTCCAGATTTGAGCTGTGTGTGATCTAGTGCAAAGTGGTACATCACTGGCCCGTGATGACCTCTGTTTGGGACACACTGAACTTGAATCGTTTGTAGAATGTGCACATAGTATTGTCATTATACAGGACACATGTTTTTGTATTTTCCTAGCTTCCCTCTTACGATGTCTCTGCATCCCACCCCAAATATAGAGGACGAATGTGGAGCTAGGTAGGTGATTGCTAGATGTTGGTGGGCAAATGGGGGAAGGGAAGAAGTGGAGAAAAACAGTGGGCTGGGAAGTCAACACGAGGAAAGACAGTCTTACAGCAGGGTGAAGGAATGGAAGAGCTGAGGAAGGACAGAAGACGACAGCATGTAAAGAATATGGAAAAGCAGGGATGGAGGATGGAGCGGCGGGACCGACAATAAAACGTTGGCTCATGCTCTCTCTCTATCTGGGACCTAGAACAGAGCTTGGCTTAGAGCCACTGTTTACAAACTGTATTTGGATTATTAGGTAATAAGATTTTATTACACGATCTCATCAGTTTATATTTATACCAAATATAGAACGGCGAAGCGAACTCTCCTGGTAGCCCAGCTTTTAGGGTTTTACCTTAGCATTCAATTATTTCTGGTTTAAAAATATGCATTTATGAAGTGCTAGTGTATCACACCATGAGTTTTTGCCTTTCCTTGACTCATGCTTATTAAAGGCCTGCTCAGTGCCATGTTTTCTTTGCACTGTCATTGGATAAATAGGTGGGAATGTATCATACATGATTCTAATGCAATTTCATGTGGGTATGATTTCTTAGCAGAAACAAACGGATATGCAGGAAGAATTCCTAAAATCATTTATCCAAAAAACAATTCAATTGAAGTACAACTTGGTGAGTAAAATTATCAAAGCCATTGAAATCACTAAGGGCAGATTAATACACATATTTAATATAAAACCAGTTAAATTTCATTGAATGTCCTAAAACTTGACAAAGCATTTTAAAAATTCATGTTGAAAAATGTTGGAAAAATTTAGCAAGAAAATAACTGAATAGAAGAAATAGAGATCTTTTCTAGTGAATAGTAAAGTACGTTTAATTATAAAGCAACAGTACGTAAATACTGGTATTTATATACAAATAGAAAGATTAAAGCAACATAATGGAAAATAATAAGCATATCCTACAATATACAACAGTTTGGTAAAGATTTGTGGCATTTAAAAATGCGTAGAGAGAGATATAGTATATGTGTGATATTAGTGTAACTTTTTAAATGTGAAAAATATGTAGTTCATTCTTTACCTCATATCAGACATAAAAATACATTTTTGATGAATCAAAGAACTCCATATAAAAATAAACCCACAGAAGTACCGTTAAAAACTGAGATAAATTTATATCTAACCTCAGAATGATGTACTTTCTACACATAAAATAGTGGAAGAAATCACAGAAGATTAAAAATTAGACTCACATAAAAACTGTAACTACCTGTATACAGGAAAAATGGTAAAGTGAAAATGTGAATCACAAACTAGGAGAGAATGTTTGGAACAGAGACATCAAAAAACAGGTAATATCATTAAATACCAACAAATCAAGGACTAGGAATAATCCAAAAGAGGCAAATGAATAATTCACAGAAGAAAAAAAAAGACTAACAAAATATGAAAATATATTCATCCACAGTAAAAGAAATGTACACAAAAAATGATACGCATCTATGAGATTGGTAAGGATTAAAAATGTAAATACCAAATATTAGCAAGGATAATATAGAGGGTGTTCTAATACATTACTGGCTATGAATATGAGCGCTCCCTTTAAAACATTTGTGTTTAAAGCTCTCCAGTGGTTTCCCATCTCACTCAGTGAATTAAATTCCCACTCACTTGAATAAAATTCAAAGTCCTGGCATTCCCAACATGGCCCTCCATGGTTGACTTCCCCTTGCCAGTGCTCACACTGGTAAGCGCACACTTGATCCCCCTGGTATACTTGCTGTTCCTTGAACATCCCAAGCACACCTCCACCTCAGGGACTTTGCACTTGCTGTTCCTTCTATTTGAAATGCTCTTCCCCACACAGCTCCATGGTCCGTTCTTTCACTTCCATCAGGTCGCCAATGAATGTCATCTCACTTGACCACCACATTAAAACAGCACACTTCTGGGGTGCCTAGGTGGCTCAGATGGTTAAGCATCTGATTTCTGCTCAGGTCATGATCTTAGGGTCCTTGGATTGAGCTCCACATCGAGCTGAGCGGGAGCTTACTTCTCCCTCTGCCCCTCACTCTGCTCATGCTCTCTTTCTTGCTCTCTCTGAAATATACAGATAACATCTTAAAAAACAAAAAGTAGCACACCTCACTCACCATCATGCTCTATCCCCTGAGCTCTCTCTATTTTTGGTAAAGTACTTATCACTACCTCACATATTTTGTCCTGGTATCTCTAATTCTATTTGAATCAATGCTCCTTAGGAGCAGGCTTTTTGTCTGGTTTGTTCCTTCCTATATCACCAGTGCTCAGAACAGTTTCTAGGACAAAGCAGATGCTCAAGAAATAGTTGCTAAATAGCTAAATAAATGAATGGACTGGTATAAACTTTGTAGAAGGAAATGCCAATATGCATTCAGAACCTTCACAAATAACTTTTGACTCAGTAAATTCTAGATGGTAAACCACATACAACAGAAACAGACCCCCAGGGCCCCAGAGATAGATAGATAGATAGATATTAGTTTTGCTTATTATGTGCAAGGAAGGAAAAGACACGATTGCAGTTTTCAAAAGGCAACTGCAAACTTTTTAAAAAGGACCACATCAGCCCGGCGATGGGTATTAAGGAGGGCACGTACTGCATGGAGCACTGGGTGTTATACGAAAACAATGGATCATGGAACACCACATCAAAAACTAATGATGTATTGTATAGTGACTAACATAACATAATAAAATTTTAAAAATAATACAAAAAATAAAAATAAAAAGGACCATATCAGATTCGAAAAAGAACAAATAAAATATCAGAATTGACAAGTACAGTAACCAAAACCAAAAACTCAATAAAGGGTTTAATGGCATATGAGACATCTGAAAAAAGGGTTACTGAACAAAAATATAGGTCAGGAGGAAATGCCTATGATTAAGCACAAAGAGACAGAAGAAGAGGAAGTACAGAGATTAGAGAGAGAGGCTACCCAGAGCTAACATGTATGTAATTGCAATCCCAGAAGAAAGAGAAAAGAGAAAATGGGAGCAGAGGCAGTATTATTTAGGTGATAATCTGAGAATATTCCAAACTGATAGACACATTAATCCAAAGATGCCGGAAGCTAAGGAGACTCGGCAGGACAAATAAAGGCAAACCTATACCTTGAAATACCAAAGTGAAACTGCAGAAAAACAAAGGAAAATATCTTAAAAGTTAGGGAAAAAAGGAAAAAAAAGTCCTCTGTGCGCAACAGTAAGCTCACTGTTTGAATTTTTGTTGGAAATAATGGAGGTTGTCTGCTGAATAAAAATGCTAATTTTATAGTCAGTGAAAATATGACAAACTGAAAATGACAGAATTTGCTAACCACAGTCTTACGCTAAAGGAGCTACTACAGTGTTCTTTAAGCAGGAGGAAATGTTTCTAGATCGTGAATCAGCTTTGTAGGAGGGAAGGAAGGAGTGAATGTTGGCATAAATATGTGAATAAATCCAAATGAGTCTTGACTGAATGAGGCAATAATGATGACGATTGTTCATGGAATTTAAAATATATATGAAATTAGAATTCACAACTGCATTTGCCTGTCTGCTGGGAGAAGGTTAAATGCAATTGCATCCTAATACTTTACATTCTCTTAGAAGACAATAGAAATAATCAATAATATCAGATTTTGATAAGTTTGAGGATCTATGCTTTAATATTTAGGGTAACACTAAAGTAATAATAATTTCAAAAATACAGGTTTGTATGGAATAATAAAAAATAATCAGGAGGAAGGAAGAAGGAATCCAAAAGAAGGAATCAAAAGACAGCAAGAAGGAAAAGGCAGATATAAGACAGATGCTACAAATAAAAAATATACATATATAAGATAGTTGATTTAAACGTACGTATATCACCGATCACAGGATGGACTAAATGCTCCAAATAAAGATTGTCATACTGGATTTGAAAGAAGATATCAAAACTCTGGGCTGTTTACAAGATGCTGGAAGAGAAAAGACTAGAAAATGATATATGCTATAAACACTAACCAAAATAAAGTTGGTATAATTATACTAATATTAAAGTAGATCTGAAGGCAGAATGCATTATTAGAGGCAAACAGAGATACTTCATAATGATTAAAAGTTCAGTGGTGAACCTGTAGATACATAATAACATGGCCTTAGAAGTGCGTGTGTGTGTGTGTGTGTGTATGTGTGTACACGTGCAGAAAGAGAGAGAGTTTTAGTTCAGGATTACGGAAGAAAGTAAGTCCATACTAACAATGGAATAATAATAATGACACTTTGCAAGGTAGCTGGTAGAACAAAGCAAACAGAACACCCTATCACGACAAACAAAATGTGCCCAAGAAATGGCCTAATATTCATCTTATAGAGCCCTGAGCCCAACTACTACAGATTACACATTCTTTCTAAGCACAATGAAGTGTTTAATAAAGGGACACCTGGGTGACTCAGTGGTTAAGTGTCTGCCTTCAGCTCAGGTCATGATCCCAGGGTCCTGGGATTGAGCCCCACATGGGGCTCCCTGCTCGAGCGGGGAGTCTGTTTCTCCCTCTCCCTCTGCCCCTCCCCCAGCTCGTGCTTGCTCTCTCTCAAATAAATAAATAAAATCTTTAAAAAGAAATAAAAAAAAGAAATGTTTAATAAAATCCACCATATGTTGGGTTATAAAACTAGTCTCAACAAAATCCAACAGATTGAAATCATATAAACTGTGTATTCTCAGACCGTAAGACACTGAAGTTGGAAATAAGCAATAAGAAGACAATTAGAAGAACCGCATAGGTTGGAAAACAGTCAAATAAAAATCCCTCCAGATAGCCCATGGATAAAAATAGAAATCAGAAAATAATTTGACAATGAATACTCATGAAAAGATTACATCGAGGTTGGTGGGATACAAAGATTTGATCAGAACATACCTGATAGTCTGAATTAGAAAAGGAAGCTAGTTGAAATATCCATGAGCTGCACGCTCACCCCTGAAGACAGAAAAAGAGAAGCAAAATAAATCCAACAGAAATGGAAGACATGAGGTGAGCAGTAATAGCAGAAAATAGTGAAATAGTAAATGAACATGCAATTGAGTGATTAACAGAGAAAGAAGTTCGTTTTTTGAAAAGTAGAATGTGATTGCTAACCCCCTGAATGATTAAGAAAAGAGGGAAGGCACAATCTGAGGGAAAAAGAGGCCATCACCATAGATCATATACACGTGAAAAAGGTCATAAAAGAATATTCTGGAAAACCTAGTGCCAAACAATTTGAAAATCTAAAAGAAATGGGCAGTTTCCATAAAAATCAGCACAAAGGATCTGGCACAAGAAGATACAGATTTCAGAACAGACATATGACCAGAAATGTAAAATCTTACCACAAACAGAATTCTAGATCCACTTGGCTTTACTAGTGAACTCTACAAAGCATTTAATAAAGAAATTTGACGGATTTAAACAAATTTTTTCACAAAGTAGAAAAAGAAGAAATAGTCGTTAACGCATTTTATTAGGTCAGGAAAATCTTGACGCTCAGACCCAACAAGGACAAGGAAATTTCAGGCCAGTCTCATTCCTCAACACAGATGGAAAATTTTAAGCTCATTATTAGCAAATTTATTTTATCAGCATACCCAAAGGATGGTACATTGCGGCTCAGTTGGGCTTACGTGAAGCAATGTCAAGTTGCTTCATATTAGGTAAGTCTTCCTTTTATTTTACATTAACAAACTAAAGAAGAAAAAATACATTCATAGATACAGCAAAGTCACTTAGAACACCTGAACTAGGAATTTATTATTTAAAAAAAAAAACACAACTTTTAAAACTAGGAATGTAAAGGAATGTCCTTAATCTGATTTTTAAAAATCTATTTTTAGAAGCCCTTAGAAGAAACAACACACTTAAGAGTGAACTATTAAACATATGTCCTTTGTTTTGAGGGAGAGCCAAAATCTCAACAGATTTTAGTTTTTGCTGAACTTGATAGGTTGATTATAATGTTGGTATGGAAAAGTAAAGACTGAATAATAGTCAAGACACTTTTAATGAAAAAGGACTAGCTGAGGGGATTTGTACCACCAGATTTCAAGATTTATTAAAAAGCTACCGTGGTTTAGACAGTGTAGTTCTGATGCAAGGATAGATAACAGGTTAGAATTGAAGGCCCAGAAATAGATCCACCATAAAACACACTTGATTTTGGCAAGGTTGACACTGTTCTGGGGAAGGTGTGACCTTTTCGATAAATGGAACTTGATAATGGGATGGAATACAGAATAAAAAACCTGACCCCTTTCTCACACTATTTATAAAAATAATTTCCAGTGAGTTGTAGATCTAAAGAAGTCAAAATGATGCATTTCTAGAAAAAAGATCCTTCATGATTTGGGGTAAGGAAAGATTAAAAAAAATAAAGACATGCTAGTCAATGACTAGTCTTGAGGTAAAATTTGATAAGTACGACTACGGTAAACATAGTAACTTCCGCTTATTGAAAGACAAGTCAACCTACCAGAAGGCAAGACAGACCGCTGTGAGAATTTACAACAGAGGGTATCAACACGGCCAGTGAAGGTCTAAAAATGTGCTGTGGCAGTGCAATCTAGGGCAATGCAAATTCAATCCATGGTGTGATATCCCAACACACACATCGAGCTGGTGAAAATAAATAGACTGACAACACCACATACTGCTGAGTAGGTAAAGTAACAGGTGCTCTCCCACGCTGCTGGTGGAAGGGTAAATTGGTACAACTGCGCTGGAAAACGATTCGGCATCTCCTTTAAAGTCGAAGATACGCATAACCTAAGATCTACCGGTTTTACTGGTAGATAGAGAGGCACGTGCACTGTCACGGACATGGGTGTGTATACAAGAAAGGTGTGGACCGTGCCCCGGGAGGCATGCAGCGGAGAGCTCACAGCAGCCTTACGCATTGAGGCAAACACTACAACAATGCAGATGTGTGCATGGCAGCTGTACAAGAAATAAACAAGTGCTAGTGCATTCTCTTATCTGAAGGGAGTCAGCTGCATGCAGCAGCACGGATCAGCATCACAAACAAAATGTGGGCAACAGAAGCTACAGTTCAAGAGTGAATGCATAAGTGATAAAGTATAAAGTAGGCAAGGGGAATGTGGGAGGCTTCTGGAGTTCCGGCAATATGTTGTTTTCCTGACGGGGTGAAGGTGGTGTGGATGTGTGCTTTACATTTATGTTCTATACTTTTTACTATACATGTGTTATAGTTCATGATTTTTTAAAAAATAAATTCCACCGAGGGGCGCCTGGATGGCTCAGTTGGTTGGGCTTCTGCCTTCGCCTCAGGTCGTGATCCCAGAGTCCTGGGATTGAGCCCCGCATCTGTCTCCCTGCTCATGGGGAGCCTGCTTCTCTCTCTCCTCCCCACTTGTGATCGCTCTCATTCTCTCTCCCTCTCTCTCTCTCAAATAAATAAATAAAATCTTTCAAAAAAAAAAAAACCAAATTAGAAGAAATAAATTCCACCTAGAATAAAGAAACATGAAGTAGACTGTGTAGAAATAAAGTAATTTTTTATGTAGAGTAAATAGATGGGATATATTAGGCTCATGGAACAAAATCAAATAAAAATAGAAAATAAATAGAAAAATTAAATAAAAATATAAAATTATTAATAATTTGTGAAAGTGTGTGGTGGAGTGAGGAGAGGGGTCACGACTGGTGAAGTAGAAATATTACTGGATTTGGAAATAGAAAACCAGCGTTCATGTCTCATTTCTTTCTCTCATGTGTGACCTTGGGCAAGTCACCAACCTCTCTGAACTTCAGTGTTCTCATTTGTAAAATGGGCATTACCTCCTCTTTCCTGATTGTAGGATTGTTTTGAAGATAGGAAGACTGAAGAAGACAATGTGTGTGAAATACTTGGTCCGAGGGTTGTGGGTTATTGTTAAGCTGTGAAATACTTTGTAAAGTTCTTTGTTAAGTTTCCTAAGACTGGTGGTAGTATCTGTGTCCCTGATATTGGGAGGGCATTGGCCAGAAGCTGGTGGTATTTGGATATCACATGGATATCTCTGTACAGTAGACACTCTGGAAGGTCACTTGTCCCTTATCATCTCTGTCCAGGGAGAGAATAAAGTAGAGGAACATTGACCTCTAGGGTGAATTTTTGGTAATCAAAAGATATTCAAGGATATTGTTTAGCTGATCACTTTTTTGTAGGCTTTTCATGTAACATTTATAAATTTGATTTTATAGGCTCTCCCCTTACTGTGGACTGCAATATCACAGACACAAGGGATAATACAAATCTCCGATGCTGGAGAGTCAATAACACCTTGGTGGATGATTACTACAGTGAATCCAAACGCATCAGAGAAGGATCCGAGTAGGTGTTGTGTTTTTCTGCCTTCCCTAAAAACCGACAAGAATTTCCTCACTTACATTATTTTGGTGCTAGTACTACTTTTTTTAGATGCTTCTCACTGACTCCTCATCACTCCTTTTGGCTTTGTCTCTCAAAGATCTCCTCAGCGCTCGGCAGGGCTACCTCCGCTTCAGAGAAGTGTGAGGGGCTCATCTGATCAACATTCCCACATCCTAGTTAGACAGATGAGGCAAAACATCAAGTATGGGCCTCACACAACAAAATCCATTTCGCTCAGCTAGTCCTTAAAACTAGCCTCCTTCCGATTTTGTTATATCATGAGCCATAGATCTTCAAGGCTCCAGTGGCAAAGCAGGGAGCAGCATGGGGACTCTTGGGGGAGACAGGACTTAATCATGCACTAATTGCGTGGTAGAAACCCAGTTTGTGGTGGTATAAATTGGGTGGTGTAAAGCAAGATTCACTAGTGCGAGGGCAGAAGAACTGATGTTGGGCGCTGCAGGGTAGATAAGTTAGCCTATGTGGAGACAACCAGAGGAAGGCTCTGGAGGGCTGAGGATGCCGTCTGTCGCCGTCCAGAAGAAAATGCAAATCCGGAAGGGCCACAACTCGCGCACCTCACCGAGCTAGTCCGTGAAGCATTCCCAGGGTAACTGTGATGGCCTGAAGTGTTCTCCAGAGAGAGAATTTTATTCTCTAGACTGAAGATGATACACTATGCTGGGTAACTATGCCTCAGGTATAAATGGTTGGTTCCTTTCTTTTACAGATCCCACGTTTCTTTCCAGAAACATATTTTTTACACAGTGAACATAACCTTCTTGGAAGTGAAAATGGAAGATTATGGTCATCCTTTCATTTGTCATGCCGGAGTGTCAGCAGCATATTTTATTTTAAAACTCCCAGGTAACGGTTTGGTGGGGTACACGCTGTTCAGGAGGTTCAAAATGATGACAAGGAGACACTTGGTGTGAGGCAGCAGAGTGGTATTCAGTAGGGAAACGCAGCATTAATTTCTTGTTTGGAATTTGTTGGTTTCAAACTCATTTCCAGAGCAGAGCAGGGGATCAATGCTCCTGAAGGCAATGAGTGACCAGCTCAAGAATTGCCAGCCATCACTCCTGTCTACTTACCAGGGGCTTTATGAATCTCATAAATATTGCATGGCATGGTCTTCTTATCGTGACCATTGCAGTACCAAGATCCCTGAAGTCTATACATTACAGCTTCCCAGACCTGGGACCTCCCAAATGGGGAGGTGGCATTGTTGCTCCAAGATCTGGGGAAGGACAAAGAGAAGTGGAAAGATGGGAGGGAAAGGCGAATCCATCTAATAGAAACTAGAGGCTCAAACAGGTGGTCAGGATCAGATCGGGCACCCGCGTGCAGAGCAGATCCACTTGGTTGTGCTGGGACTTAATCAATGGATTGCTATTTCTGTTGACCCAGAATGTGTTTTAGTGTTTGTGCTTTATTGTATTTAAAGACATACAGCAGTGCATAGGGATGTCTTTGACCTCAAACTGTTTGCAACATGGTGTGACATAGGGCAGGTCATGATAAACTCCTTAGGGAGTATTTAAAAAAAAATGAATGTGCTCTGGGGGGTTCCCAGAAAAGAGAATTTCCCCTTTTACTCCCCCCCCCATACACACATACATACACACACACCTTTTAGTGGAGACTGGAGCATCGGGAAGGGGCTGATGAAGGCAGTGGTGTATGCGGTGGATTCTAAGAATGGAGAGACTTTCTCTTCCTTTGTCTTTCTTCCTCCTTCCAAATTCTCTCCTTCTTAGGGCCTCCTTCCATGGCATCACTCTTTTGGGCTGTGGTAAGGGAGCAAACTGTACTGTTCCTCTTCTGGGATGTGTGGGAGCCTGTTTTCAGGGACTTGACATTCCAGGGGAACTGGTTCTGCTTCTTGGTCATCTCCCACCCACAGCTTTTGCCATAATTGCTCTGCAGTGTGTTTGCAAAGCAGAGCAGGGATAGACACCCTTTCTGCCCTTTTGGAGACTGTGCCTTGCAGACAGGCCCCCGGCCTGGACCTTGTTGGCACAAAGAGGATGAGGCGGGGGGGGAGTTTGGCTCTAGGGCAGGCTTCGGGAGACAACAGAGTTGGCTTTCAGGGGAGGCAGCTGATGGCTCTTTATTTATGACAGGTGTCCTGCTGCTCAATTTTGAGTGCCCATGAAAGCAGTTATGACAGTGGAATAATCAGGAATGTGCAACAGAACCACTGGGAAAGGTCTTCCAATAAACATGTTCAAGGCTCTACCTCGGGAGAGTCTAGTAGAGTTGGCTTAAGTGAGACCTGGCCGTGTGTGTTTTGAGAGCAGGCCTCATGCCCTCCAGCCAGCCCCATCAGGAGCTAGGCTTCTGCAGAATTTCCCTCCCCAGGTTCCCAAGAGCACATTTGCTTTCTGAAATTCGTGGGCCACACCAGATTATTCTACTCCCATATACCTAGTATATTTAACTGTAAAAAAATATTTAAGCGGTATCCTCATTGACCTCTAACACATTTCCATTTGGCATTTGTAATGTGATCTGCATAAGTAAAGCATAGAGTTGACTCTTTGTTTTATCATTATTATTTGTTTATATCTTTATTTGCTGTCATTTGTAGCTCCAAATGTTCAAGCTTACTTGATAGGAGGGCTTCTCGCCTTGGTGGGTGCAACAGCATCTGTCATGTACCTCTACAACATTTTTAAGATCGACATTGTACTCTGGTATCGAAGTGCCTTCCATTCTACCGGGGCCAAAGAAGGTAAGCGTGGGTAACCACTGAAGATTGCCTCATACTTGGCATCCGCTCATCCGTATAACCCGCTCATCCGTATAACCATTGTAAATACACTTTATCATATTTTACTAGCTTGCCTTTCATGTTGTTGGCAAATTGGGAGGAAGGACTCTCCCTGGACTTCTCATGCTTCAGGGAAACCATTGGTCCATGGTCACCAGCATTGTTCAGTCAAATGAGGCTTGCAGGCTAGTCGTGGCCGGGCAAATCTTTGCTAAGAAGCAGGAGCATGTCATCTTCTGGGTCCCACTGTGACTGTTTTAGAGAGGTTCTCACATCTACTGCTGTTTGCCAAAGAAGACGATTTCTCTAAGAGCGACAAAGGGCTCTCCATCCGCGATACGTCTTCAGCACGGTGGGCGCATGAGCAGAGTTTACGTGATGGAGAGAGATGAGCTGCCTGTGGGGGCAGCTCTTTTAGGTCCTGTACTTGGGGCCTGAAAGATTTAAGTCCCTGCCTCACAAGGCTGGGGAGAGGCCTGGGTTTGCATCTGGTTCTCCCCTTACTCCCGTGTGATCTTAGGAAGTGTTGAATGCTCTTCTCTTTCTTGGCTAGAGAATGAAAGAAAAAAAGAAACAAGGAAGAAGAGAAGGGAGGAAGGAGGAGAGGAAGGAAAGTAGGAAGGAGGGAAGGAGAGGGAGGAAGTGGGGAGCGAGAGAAAATGATCAAAGCCTGCCTCACAGAGTATTGTAGGAACACCTGAGTTGAAGTCCAGGAAAGCCCTGAGCAGGGACCTGGGGCACAAGGGGCGCCCTGTAGTCTGAAGGCCAAAGCAAGCTGCCTCTGCCCCTTTGCCCCAGGTTTCAGCGTGGTCTGTGGAGCTCCTGTCCTGCCAACACGTCTCAACACACAAATGCCTCAGTGCGGTCCTGAAACTCTGAGGAATAGGCACTTCCCACCGTTGTGGTATTTTTTTCTTTTTCTTTTAGTTTTATAAGTAGGCTCCATGGCCAGCATGGAGCCCAGTTCGGGACTTGAACTCATGACCCTGAGATCAGGACCTGAATGGAGATCAGGAGTCGGACGCTTAACCAACTGAGCCACCCAGGTGCCCCACCCCCAACCATTGTGGTTTTTTAAACTCTGTGCTGTTTTCCTGTTGTCTCAGAATGGTTGTGATCTATCAAGGCCTTGAAAAGAAATAATGAGTCTGCTTTAATGTCCTCTGATTGGATGGAAAATTAATACACAGCCGAGAGAAGTCTATGCGCTTCATGCACACGGAAATACCCACATTTATACCATTCAGGTCCAGAGACTAGAGATGAGGACTAGAGTTGGAATTCAGGGAGGTGGGTGTCCAAGCACGTTTTATGAGTACCCACCAGTAAGAAGGGCATTATTTACACCAAGGGCCTGCTTTGCCTATAAAACACACAAGTTGTTGTCCATCTACTTGAGAAAACAGGTGTCCTGACTTGGACTTTATTCTAAGCTAAATTTCTGAATTCAAAACTGGCAGTCCCAGAGCAGTGTGGAAAGCAACACGTTCTTCCTTGAGGGCCAAATTCAATCGTGGAAACGCAACTGTGCATGTCCAATGCCACTCGAAGCCCCTCTAGTCCTGAGGCCCGTCGGCTGGATGCGGGGCCCCCTCGGAGCCTCCCTGTGGCTATGCTCCCGTGAATGTGGCAGAGGGGACCAGCGCACCACCACTTGTCTTTTCTGACACGCGCACGTGAGCGGTCCGCCTGCTTTCTATTGACTGACTGACTGGACACTGCGGGGATTTCAGTGGTGTTCCCAGATCTCTGGTCCAGGTGCATGTCTCACTTCCTGACTCACTCACTGTGACTCCCAGGAGCATGAGAGCCGAGGGCTGGTGCAGCTGCCTGCTGGTGAGGTCGAGTTTAGCAGGAAGAGAAAAAAGGAATAGTGACTCACCCAGAGCAGGGGAGCTGAGCAGATGACAGATTCAGGGAGCCCCACCCTCTGCTGAGACCAGACTCCAGCCCAAATTCGGGCTGAGAATTTGGACATCGGGGTTCACAGTCAGCCAGGGCTCCTCCTTTTTTTTTCTTAATTCAGATAAGTGCTTGCGTACTTTGTGACTAAATCTCTAATCTCTGCAGCTCCATCTATGAGAACGACCCCTGTAATTCCTCTCTGAGTGTTGGCTTTTTGACAATGAGCTAGAGATGAGACTTAAGATTTGTCCCGGATGCTATTTCCAGCATTGTGTCCCTGGGAGATATTTTCTGAGTTATTGGGGGGAACCTGTGGAGTCAGGGGTGGCAAATACAAATGAAGAAATAGACAAATTGCGTCCTTCTTATGAGAAAATATTTCCCCAACTAGGTGAGTTACACTTTATAACATGAGTAACAGGTGGGTATAGCTCGGTTTTATTGAGTCATCAACAGCCCTAATCCATGAGTTCTGTATGTTCTCTAGTAAATTATAGGAGTTACTTTAAAAATTCTCCTTCTGGGTGTGCGTGTGTGTACAAAAATAAAAGGGCCAGTTTACACATCTAGAGAGATCTGCATATGTCTCACCACCTTCCAAATAGGTTTGTGGAGAACATACATGTAGAACACAACAATTAAAAACAGATAGTGAATAGAGGGTAGAATGGTAAAATAAAGCTTGGGGGTAGAATTAATGACAAATCTTGGACACTTTTTAAAGATGAGTTGGCTTTAGAAGTAAAGGTAAAAACAATGACAAGATGCATTGTGTGCTGTTCACAAATGAGCTTCAGTTGCTTGTGAGAGCACATAGCTTTTTCTGGGACAATTTTCCAAGGAAAAGTTTTTGTAGGGAGTATTCATTTTTAAAGGGTGTAATATAATGAATCTTGTCTACAACAACATTCCTGTGGTAAATGTAGTAGCATGTTGAATGTGGCTTTTCTTCTAGTATCTTCCATGCTAGGGCTAAAATGCCAAACCTCATGCAATCAAGTAAAAGCACTTATGTGAAGACCAAATTGATTCTGTCTGATTTTTCCATCGGTTCAGTTTGATTAGGTTTGAAACTTAAGAAAGCAAGGGGTTGAATAATCTTTAAGCAATCTCTCATAAACATTAATACACCCCAATAAACTTTTGTATTTCTGCCAATGACCAATAAAGGCATATGCAGATGTTTTAACAACAAAATTAGGGCTGAATGTCTTCAGGAAATTAAAGGAGCTTGGCCAGAACCTAGATAAACTGTCTAGGTTTATCCACTCTATAAAGGCAAGTTGTGGGAGTATCTGCCAACAGGCCCTTTCCTTAGAAAACTTACTAGTAGGTCTACATTTCCACAGTTTTCTGGATGAAATAAACAGTTGGGGGGGGGCATGTCAAACTCATCATTATCTATTGCCATTCATTGTTACCTACCCAACTGCTCTTACAGTTACTATGGCTGGGAAGAAAATTACCTCAAAACTTTGTAGCATAGAGCAGCCATGTATTTTGCTGATGGGTTCTGTGGGTCAGGACGTGGCTCAGGACGTCAGGGATGGCCTGTCCCAGCTCCATGACGTCTAGGAACCCTGCTGGAGGATTGGCAGTTGATTTTGGCTATCAGTTGGTGGCCTCAGTGTCTCTCCCCAGTGGCCTCTCCATGTGGCCTCTGTGTGGGCTACTTTGGGCTTCCTCATGGCATGGTGACTGACTTCCGAGGGCTAGTGTTTCAAGAACAAGAGAGCCAGGAAAAGCCATATTTTCTCTTACGACTCAGACCCTAAATCTATAGAGTCAATTCTACCACATTCTATTTGTCAGGGCAGCTACAGAGTCCTCATCAATTTTAAGGGAGTGGAAATAGATTCCACCTCTTTGTGGGGAGGTGTGGTCGGTTCTGAAAGAGCATGTGGAACTGGAAATATTGCTGGGGCTATTTTCTGAAAAAAATGCAGTCTGACACACTTGAAAGGGACTAATCAGGTATATGCTTTGTGACGTTTCCTCCTCCTGATTCTCGTCTCAGCCACACCAGAGGGAGGGGTGGACTTGGGTTTGAATCAAGGCTATGCACTTAGGCAGCTCAAAGACGAGAAATAACATAGCCTTGTCTGTCTCAGCTCCCTTTCCTGTGATCCGACGATACAAACGTAACCCTCACCGTGACCGTGACCGTGACCGTGACCGTGACGGGCAAAGCCGGCAGGCAGTTGTCTGAGAGCGCCCTTCAAAACCTCAGGCAGAGGCTAAAAGCAAAATGGCCTCAGCTTGATGTTTTTGCTAGACTGGTGAATAAAGGACGAACTGATCATTTGGAAGTGATGAGAACCCACTGCATTTTTTGAGAACAAGCCACAAAGGTAACATTACTACCCAAAAGCTTAGAAAGAAAAAAATAAAAGATGACCCAAAAATTGGGAGCATTTTGTATTTTGCTTTTCGAGAAGGTGTGAGAGTCCCTTGCTGCCTAAGTCTCTTCTCAGAGTCTGCATTTGCCCAGCATGGAGCACCTGTCTTTTCAGACACCTCGCCTAAAAACAGGGAACGTGGAACACAGTCAAAAGAGAGAATTCACTCAGCAACCATAGGTTTTTGTTTTGTTTTGTTTTGTTTTGCTTTGCTTTTTAATGAGAAGAAAGAAAGAGAAACAGCCTGAGAGAAGAGAGACACCAGTGGCAGGGTTTCAGACAGAGGTGGTGATGAACACAGATGTTTGCTGTAGTTTACAGACCAAGAAATACTGTATTCATTTGGGAGGCTCTGCTATGTGATGAGGAGAGTGCCAACCCAACCAACCCTTTATCATAAAAGGATTAAATATTATCAAATTTTTAAGGACATTTAAATCCTTTTTAAAATGTTTAAAAACATAAAGCCTTTATGAAATCCTAAAAAAAATTTTTTTTCATACGCCCCCTGGCTTTAGAAAGTCAAGTATATGACATTAAATTTAAATCAGAAAAATATCCACTTATGGAGTGGTGGTATAAACTAGTAATATTGAAGACATTACAGAAGGAGTTTTAGCTGGGTTGGGTTTCTGCCGACTCCAAACACAAATTAATCATCCCTTTGGTACCTGCCTTATGACTCCAATTTATTAAAAAGCTGAATCAGCTCATGATCTAAAACTTCTCTCTCTCCTCCTAGATTTAACCTTCTTGAGCCTCTGTAAAATCAAGCTCCATTCAGACATTTGGCAACTACTGATAGAGACCTCCTCTGTCTCAGGTCGTGCTCCAGGCACTGGGGGTGGAACCCCACCAAAAAAAGCCCCCATTCTCATACGGCTTCCTTTCATGACAGGGGGTGGGGAGACTGAGGAAGAGTGAGTGTGCATGTGTGCCCATGTGTGTGTATTACCATTTCCACAGGATGGCCGGGAATGGTGGGCAGAGACTTAAAGGCTGTCAGTGGTGGTTGGCGTGAGAATTTATGGAATGGGAAAAGGCTACAATGTAAACTCTGAAGTTCTGTACACATTTTAACTACAGATCTTCCTTGACTTATGATGGGTTATATCCCAATAAACCCATTATAAGTTAAAAATATCATAAGTTAAAATGCACTCAAGGGCGCCTGGGTGGCTCACTTGGTTAAGCAACTGCCTTCAGCTCAGGTCATGATCCTGGAGTCCCAGGATCGAGTCCCACATTGGGCTCCCTGCTCAGTGGGGAGTCTGCTTCTCCCTCTGACCCTCCCTCCTCTCGTGTTCTCTCTCTCTCAAATAAATAAAATCTTAAAAAAATAAAATAAAATGCATTCAATGCACATAACCCACAGAACATCACAGCTTAGCCCTGCCTACGTTTAACGTGCTCAGAATACTTACATTAGCCTACAGTTGGGCAAAATCATCTAACATAAAGCCTATTTTATAATCAAGGTTGACTGTCTCATGTGACTGATTGAATACTGCCCTGAAGGTGGAAAACAGCAGGTGTATGGGGACAGATGGTCAGATGGTCAGTATATCGACTGTTGACCCTGGAGATTGCGTGGCTGACTCGGAGCTGAGGCTTTTTACGCTGCCTAGCATCAGAGAGAGGATAGGACCGCATATCACTAGCCTGGAAAAGATCAAAATTCAAAATTTGAAGTATGGTTTCTCCTGAATGTGTATTGCTTTTGTACCATCATAAAGTCAAAAAATCGTAATCGAACCCTCCTAAGTCAGGGACCGTCTGTACTATTATTTAGACAAAAACTAGAAGTATACAAGATTTTACCTTCTTTCTTTGGGCTCAGAGCAACCCTTCTTTTCAAGTCTGTTCAATCAAACAAACTTCCATAAAAAGGGAATAAAAAGGGATGGCTTCCTCTTGGGTCCCATTAGGTTAGCTCTGAATTTCCAAATAGCCTGGAGCTCAAAAAAAAAAAAAATCACATTTTCTAATGAGATGTTCACTCAAACCTTCTAGCCCTGCTAGAGTTTCTTACTCATTCATCTGACCCCTGAGTAGAGCGTAAGCATCCCCCTTCCATGCGCTTCTCAAGCTCTTCCCCTTCTTGGACTCCTTATCCTCCACTTCTAGTGCGTCAGTTTTTTCTAAACCCTTTAAAATCCAGCAACTGCCCTCCATCCTTTATGAATTTTCCCCAAGAGCTCCATGCTATGGGGGAAGTTTTGTTTCTTTCCGTCTCTCCTGTTCATTCAGCCATGTGATCTTGTAGCGCCTCATGTTTTTATTTCCAAGTCTCTGAATGGTCTTTCCAGTTAGATCTTGCGTCTTGGTCATCTGTCCAGGGGTGAGCACAGTGACTGTTACCTGTGGTTGGTTGCTTAATAAATGCTTAGCTCATTCCGGTGATGATGAAATGTGCTGTTGTATTGGACTTCTCTGTACTGCACAGCAGATTCCTGGAGTCTGCTCAGAGGCTTGGTCGCTACAATGCCATGTGCAATTGCAGTGGCAAAATTCACTAGTGGGTCTGAATCACAGAGACTTGGCCCATTTTGCCTGGTGCAGTTTACGACAGTCCGCCGTTGCACAGGACCCATCAAGAGTGAAAATGATGGAGACTCTTGCTTTCAATTCTCATTTTCACCACAGGGACTGGTGGACTTAAGAGTCAAAGGTGTCAGGTTGGAATTGGGGCTGGGTGACCTTGGAGAAGTGATTCTTATGTAACGGGGATAGGACCACCTTCCTCAAAGGTCAATGCCAATGGGGTAGGAATACCAATTGTAACTGACAAATCACTGGAGGCTCAATGTGGATAAATCTGAGACTTAAATTCTTCAGGGGACCTAGTCATAAGGAGTAGAAACCCACACTTTTGTGAGTTTTCCCTCCAGAAGCCTGACTTGGTTCTGACTGTAAATATCAGAGAAAAAAATCTCTTTGTGCTTCCAGCAGGGGGAGGAGAAAAATCATTCTGAAATATCCTAGAGCACTCAGTACTTATTAACCAGGCCTGCCCTCAGGAGAAACTAGTTAATGAAAGCCTTACCCGCTAGGGTATTATTGGAGTCTAACTGACCTGTGCAGAAGGAAATACCCAACTCCAGCCCAATCTAGCCATCCTGCCCCACCTAAGTGGGGATACAAAACTGAGAAATGCTTGTGACGTTCATAGTCCAGAGTCACTAAAAGACAGATCTAATCACAGGACCATCGAACACATCCCCTCCCTCCACACCTTACCACCATGTTACTAAAGGCCAGTTTATACCACTTTCTTTTACTGGTACATTCTATCCAGGTCTCAGAGAAAAGTATAAGGCATATTAAAAGGCAAATGCACAATTTGAAGAGACAGAGCAAACATGAGAGCCAGAAATGGCAGGGATGTTGGAATTATCAGACTGGGAATTTAAATCATCCCTGATTAGCATGCTAAGGGATCTAATGCATAAAAGCAGACAGCACACCACAGACGGGAGATGTAAGCAGAGAAATGAAAATCCTAAAAAGAACCAAAAAGAAAGCTAGCAATTAAAAAAAAAACTGTAACAGAAATGAAGACTGCCTGTGATGGGCTTACTAGTGGAGTGGACATGGCTGAGCAGAGAATCTCTGGGCTTGAGGCTATCCCACTAGAAAGCTCCAAAACTGTAAAGCAAAAGGAACAAAGACCGGGGCGGCGGGGGGGGGGGGGGGGGGGGGTGGGAGAAGAAAAGAACAAAGTATCCAAAGAGTGTGGGACAACCACAGAAGGTGTAACATAAATGTAATGGGAATACCAAAAGAGAAGAAAGAGAGAAAGGAACATAAGTATCTGAAACACTAATGACTAAGAATTTCCCCAATTAATGTCAGATACCAAACCACAATCCAGGAAGCTCAGAGAATACTGAGCAGGATAAACAAAAAACCAAAAATCTAGGCATATCATTTTCAAGCCACAGAAAATCAAAGGTAAGGAAAAAAAATCCTAAAAGAAGCTAGAGGAAAAAAAACACCTTACCTATCGTGAAACAAAGGCGTGTGTTGCGTTCAGCTTGTCCTCAGAAACTACGCAAGCAAAAGAGCATGAAGTGAAATATTTAAAGTGTCGAGAGAATGAGAGGCCTAGTGTGGCAATGCTTGGCACCCAGAGAGCCAACTGGGTACTCTGAAGTCATTGAACCCAAGGGAAAAGGACATCATGGTAGCAAGTCAGACTTTTGCTCTGTTAACATAAGAGAATTTGGTAGGAATAATTCCATGAGTTTATCCCATTTCCTTTTCAGATGGCAAGCTGTATGATGCCTATGTCTTATACCCCAAGCCTCAAAGAGAAATCCAGAGCCATGAGGTGGACACGCTGGTATTGAAGATTCTGCCCGAGGTGCTGGAGAGGCAGTGTGGATACAAATTATTTATATTTGGCAGGGATGAATTTCCTGGACAAGGTATGTTTTCAGTGAAGTGTAAAAGCCACAGATAAAAAGGAAAAGGAAGTCTCTTTCCTTCACTTTAGAAGTGGTGGGGTGGGAGGAACTGCTTGCTTTCCCCCAAGGAACCATGGGGAGTCTTGCACCTCCTCAGCCCACAGCCCCGGAGCCGAATTAGAACCAGCTCTCTTCTCTCTGGGGCTCATTCCTGTAACAGGATAACCGAGATTCCTGGTTGAAATTATGTGACTCTCGCTATGAGTAACACGAGCAGTTGGCTGATGACAGCCTTGGCCAAGGGACCAAATGGAGAAAAGAGGTCATTTGCCCTCACGCCCTTGAGACTACCTGCTGAGTATTCTCCATCAGTTCGAATATGTAAATCAGCTTATGTTTAAAGATGATTTTATAAACCTTAACTGCCCAGGCTTCTCCTACATAAATAAAAGAGAATTTATTTATTTACGACTCCCTTTGAACAAGAGTGTAGCTTTGGGCAATGAAGGCAACATCTCTGAACCTCAGCTGTCTTATCTGTCAAATGGGGAGGAGAATACTTCCTTAGCTCGGGTGACAGAATGAAATGAGGTAAAACCTGAGTGGGGACCAATATGGAGCTTAGCGCATATTAGACATTCGACAGATGAAGTTTCCCTCTTGACCTACATGTTTTCTTTCTTGGAATGCTATACAACAAATGGCTGAAATTTGAAATAAACATCCTGCACTAGTCAAGAGGAAACCAAGATTACTACTTTACAGTATTTGGTAGTGGCCTGCTCTGGGTCATTTGAAAAGGTTGCTGAGTACTTTGGATTTGTTGGTTGCCCATATCTGTGGTGAGCAACAACTATATCTCAGCCTGCATCTTTTCAAGTTATAGGATCAGCCTCCATGAGGAACTGAAAATCTGATCTAGTGCTCGCCATAAATGTGTGGAAGACTTCAAATTTCATAAGCATATTCTTTCACTCACTTATTCAGCAAATATTTATTGAGCACCTGCTATGTGCCTTATAATATTCTAGGCACTAGAAATAGAAAAATAAGCCAAAAAGAAGAAGAACATGAACTTTGGGAGGTCAGAGTGTATTTTTATATTCTAAGAATAAGGAGGATATAAAAGTTAGGCACACGATAAGACCCTTGTTCTGGGTAGCTCACGGTCTGTGGGTGCAGCCAGTGGGCTAAGGAAAGTGACCTATCAGCAACTAACTACCAAAAAATATGACTTAGGAACACAAAGGACCAATTTTTCAGGGAAAATCAGGAAGGCTTCACAGAAGATAGGATGAATGTTAAAAAAAATCACTTTTGTTACCCATTCCTAAGTCACATTTATTTTAAAGTCCATGTTGCCTTTATCCAGGGCCCATTTCTAATATTCTCAGAGATCGATCTAGGCTCTTTCACTCCTCAGACAGTCTGCATCTTCTTTATTTGCAGCAGTGGCCAATGTCATTGACGAAAACATCAAGCTGTGCAGGAGACTGATCATCATCTTAGTTCCCGAATCCCTGAGCTTTGACTTGTTAAAGAACATGTCGGAAGAACAAATTGCAGTCTACAATGCGCTCATCCAGGACGGGATGAAGGTCATCCTGATTGAACTGGAGAAAGTCAAGGACTACGCGGCCATGCCGGAGTCAATTCAGTACATCAAGCAGAAGCACGGGGCCATCCAGTGGAGTGGGGATTTCACAGAGCAGTCACAGTGCGCAAAGTCCAAGTTCTGGAAACAAGTGAGGTATCACATGCCACCCAAAAGGCCTCCACCATCTTCTTCTGCCCAGCTGCTGAAGCACACGTCCTGACACCTCCCGGCTGGCTAGGGAGGGGCCAGTGTGGGGTTGGTCACCCGTGATGGCGTTGTCGGCATGGGGTGGCTCATGGTTGGACAAGGATGCATGGCATTTGGGCAGTCGGCTTGAAGCTTGCCCTTGTGTACTTGTTGCTACAGGTCCTCTGTTTGCTGCTTGTTTTGATCAGAGCTCCATCTTTAGGGAAAGGTGTCACCCTTCCAGAAGGCCCTCATTCACTTATGGGCTCTGATGAACACTCCCTGAGCACAGAGCAGGTGTAGCATGTGAGCCCCTGGGGAATGGGACATGGAGGATTGTAGAGCAGTTGAGTTGTCAAGAAGTTTGGTGCATGGTGTGGCACCCATGGGGCCAGAGATGGAAGTCAGGGGATGGCAGGAGGCAATCTGTGGGTTTGGGGAGGGCTGGCGAGGAGAACCACACTTTTATCGTGACCACAATCTTAGCACACTCATACTGGAAGCCACTGAGTGGTCACACAGACCACTGGAGACCCAAGTGTGGCCCCACCGAGATTGCCCATTAATCACCATCCTTTTGGGCCCCAGCCTTGAAAGACTTGATTTGTCAAATCAAAATAAGTAACAATTCACTTGTTTTTCCAGCTGGCCAAGAAGGCTGGGATTCTGAGCAACGTGAGAGAAACAGCACACCAAGATGATGTGGTTCTAGTCCATGTAAAACAAAGTAATCTTTCGGTTAGCCAGCGTCCCCTCGCCACAAGTCCCATTTATGATTTAACAAGGGGCAAGGACTTTTGATGCTCAAAATTAGCTGTAAACTCATCACTACTTGCAAAGACCCCCACCTGAGGAGGAGCTTAGATAGAGTCCAAGTCTCTCGTTCTGTGGCTGATGACATTAAGCCCTAACAAGTGGCCTGCTGGGGTCAGAATGTTTGTGTGCCCCAAATTCACATTGTTGCAGTCCTAACACCCAGTGTCATGGTATTGGGAGGTGGGGCCTTCCAGAGGTGAGCAGGTCAGAAGGGTGGAGCCCTCCTGAATAGGATTAGTATTCTCGTAGAAGATACCCCAAGAAGTCCCTTGCCGCTTCGGCCATGTGAGGACACAGCAAGAAGTCGGTGATCTGAAAAAAGGTCCTCACCTGACCACGAAGGCACCTGTTCTCAGACTTCTTGTCTCCACAGCTGTGAGAAATAAATTTCTGTTGTTTGTAAGCCACTCGGCCTGTGGTATCTCATGATAGTGGCCCTAACGAAGAGTCCATGGGGGCTGGAAGGGGGTCAGCCAGTGGGCAGGACAGGGGAGTGGGGGAGAAGCAGGAGGGGTGAGAACAGGGACCCCAGCATGCAGGGAGGAACAGAGTGTCTGGGGGGCAGGGAAAAGGACCAGGTGGCTCTGTGTCCTTCTTCTCGGGCTGCCGATAGCATAAAGTGTCTGGTGGGACTTTGTCATCTTTCCCAAGTGGAACTCTCTCCCTGTTAAACACTACCTCCCCGTCTCCCCTGCCCACAGCCTCTGGCAACGTTCTGCTTTCTGTGTCTATGATTTCGGCTCCTCCAGGCACCTCATGTAAGTGGAATCCTACAGGATTTGCCCTTTTGTGCCTGGCTTATTCCACTTAGCCATAGGTCCTTAAGATTCACGTGTAATATTTGCTTTTTGTTTCATTCTTCTTATGGAGTGCCCCCTCCCTTCTTTCTTTCTTCCCTGGGTGAACGGTAGCAGGTATCGATTTTATTACGGTGACGAGAGACAACCAACAGAAATAAGAAGCTCATGAGGATCTTTCTAATCAGATGTTTGTGAATTCTTTGCCTCTCGGTTTCTGTCTCCAACGTGGGAGTCATGATTCTTCATGGAGAATTTGCCAGTTTAAGTAAAGGAAGCTGCTTCTCTTGGTGCACCCAGGAGCGAAGTGATGGTGGCTGATGTGTTCCTCATTCTGTTCCTCTCACCCCTGAGTTTTCTCTCCTCTGCTTGGTACCTGGAGATTGCCATTGATGCTGGGGAAGGCTCTATGGCCACAGACATCAGAGGGGCACTTTGCCCTTCAGTGTGTCCTATGCGGAGCCCATCCCCTACAGCCTTCCCCTTCCTTCCAAGCCCTTTCTCTCCAGAGAGTGAAGAAAGGCAGAGCAGCCCCATGAGTCAGGAGATCGGGTGAGACCTTGGGATGTGTCCTTTTGTCAGGCTGACCCGGTTGCCTATGAATTTTAGAAAGAGATTCTCCAGGATCATTCAGTGACTAAACTTTTATAAATAAATGACTGTATCCACACAACACAAGTTGAGGCTGTCAGAAAAAAAGAAAGCCAATCCATCAGAGGTAAAGGTATTTTCTGAAAATCTGTGACTTATGGGAGACCAGTACTGTTGGCGAATTTCTTAATTGGAATGATTTTTTAAGCCAAAACCTTCCTTCCCCTCCAACATGTGCCCTCTGTTTCTTTTTGTCTAAAAGTATGTAAAGGTGTATTATCAATGCAATAACATGAATGAATTATATCAGCACATTGCAATTTTATTGTTATTAAATATGTTTTGTGTCCTATACAAGAGGCTCCTTTTCTCAAGGTTCTGGCCTTTCATATATTTGGACACGGTGCTGGTGTTCTCAGGCTTGAATATACTCTCCTAGTGACAGACCAAGTGCTCTGAATCAGGATTTGTTGTACAATACAGCCACACGTCTTCAAAGATGGATAAAACTTGTCTTAATCCCAGTAAGTTCTGTCCTTTTAAACAGTGGCCCTTTCTGATAATTTGAGGAGCAATGTGGATATCTCCCTAGAAAAAATGTACATACACACAAAATTTTGGCCCGAATTTTGAGAAGGTTGACTGAGTTTTTCAAGCTCCTCGAAGGGACCTTACAGAAGGTCCCCCCCAGGCCATGGGAAAAAGACCCCTTCCCTAGAAGGACTTTCATTTCTGTACGTATAAGATGTGATCTCGGAATTTTACATGATTCTGTGTAGAGGTGCAGTGATAAACGTGCCGAGTGAGCCATTCTGGGGTCCTCCTGAAAGTTGTTTGGAAAGGAACACAGACTTGGGATTTTCGTGGTATTTTAGTCATCATCTAGCCCAGGGCTGCCTTACTGGTCTGCCACAAATGAGCTGCAGGTCTCCGAGGACTGTTACTCCTGAGATATTTCCTCATGGCGTGTCTGGAGCCGTAGGCCTTACCTGTGTGTGCACCAGGATGTAAAAAAAAAAAAAAAATTGGGAAACAGATCCTAGTCAGATAGGGGCCAGAAGTGTGAAGGGAGTAAACTAAAGATGCTCGATACTTGGTGGCAGAGCTGGGACAGGTGCCTCCTGTCTTCTCACTCTGCCGCGGCTCATCCTACGGCAACTTTTCTGACCTTCTCAGTCCTGTGACACCAGCCACGCAATGGAACTAACTTCTAGAAATCTGAGAATGGGCTTCTAGAATTACACAGTCAGGGCTTCTGAGTGATTTCCCTTGATTTACTTTGGGCTTTTTCAGGATCGCACACATTTTTCGTTTGGTCTTGTTTCTGCCTAGCGGTAAGCAAAACCTTAGCATTTAGGTTCATACGAAATTTAACATTCAGGATTAAGAATTTCTTCAATAAGTTTTACCTTTCTTGAACGGATCCATCTGAATGGCTAGAGGTTTTAGATGAGAGAGGTCAATGAAGGAGGCTATGTCCTTTCCTGGGACAGCTTTATCACATCTAACACAAAGCATTGGAGTTAACTGAATTTTACCTCTTGCCTGGAGCCTCATTACCACTTGGGGACCTGGGGGTCCAGGGCTCTGCCTAGTGGGGAAGAGCTTGTATTTGAAACTTGACTTTTCCACTAACTGTGGGGCCTTTGAGAAGCAGGTCAACCTCTCTGAGCTTGTCATCATTCGGGGATGACGTGAGGAAAAAGATGACATAAGTGAGTATGGGCATGATAAGTGGTTGCTATTTATGGACAGATTGGACACACTTGAAAGAACTCTGGTCGTGATATTCAGGGAAAAAAGTTCAGTTGAAAGGGAAAAAAAATCCATTGGCACTGAATGTTTTGCAGTAGGCAGCTCATGGTTTTTGGAGAATCCTAAATTTTTTACTAGCTTCTTAAAGTCACACACACACAAAATGCCCCTGGAGACAGGGTGCTCCGTATTGGCATCGATGGATCTATGACTGTGCCGCGTGCTGTGGGCTCTCGGCTAGAGTAATTTTCCAAACCATCCTGCCCTGTCTGCTGGCTGGTGTCCTCTTCCACACAGGCGGGGACCCCCAGCCTTCCTGATCCCCTGGGTATATCTGCTGGGTAGATCCTGGGTAGATCCCACAGGAATATCTGCTCCAATGGAGACTTTGATTATTGTCCTTGCTTGCTGCTTGGTCTTGATGGTGGGGAGCTCAAGGAGCTTTGAAGCCTCGTCCTGGGAGATGAGTGCCAGGAATAAGCTTCAGCCATACTCATTCTACCACACAGTAGCCCAGGCCAGAAGAGTACTTGAAGGAAGTACCTGAACTGGGAAGACCCAATTGACAATCCTATCCTTCTCTGGGGCCTCTGGAGGATAGCGCTGTTACCCCGCCCCTGGCCTCAAACCCATCCTCCCACCTCTTAGATCATGTTCCCTTCCCCCTTAGACACTCAGCAGCTGTGATTCCAAGCACCCTGCTATCGTACTGGGGATTGTTCACTTCTTGCCATAATTTCACCCGAACACTCCTAAAATGAGAACTGACAATTTGCGTTGAAGACTGCTTCCCTCAGAACCTTCCAGAATTTCTGTAGCAGGGGATCAGAGGTGCTCTTTGGTTCGGGGGTGGTGGTGGGAGAGAAGGGCTTGAAGTAGCATTTGTGTAGACAGCCCTTGGCCCAAAATGGAGAAACCATTAATGACTCATGTCAGAGAATGGGCTGATTCCTAATGGAGATTTCAGGGAAGGGTTGCTGGAGTTCCACTGAGCTCCCTCCATTTTATTCATAATGCAGTCTCCAAAATGTGCACTTTCACTGTTTTGTAGGTGTTCTTTAGCATTTAATCTCAG